TGATGGAAGTAGCAAATATTACGCAGACTCTGTGAAGGGCCGATTCACCATCTCCAGAGACAACGCCAAGAACATGGTGTATCTGCAAATGAACAGCCTGAAATCTGAGGACTCGGCCGTGTATTACTGTGCAGCAGACACAGTGAGAGGAGGTCAGTGTGAGCCCAGACACAAACCTCCCTGCAGGAGGGACTGAGGCACCAGGGTGCTCAGGGGCCTTAACACAAGGACCCTCCCAGGAGCAGGTGCAGTGGGCGGTTTGGGCTGTTTCCTGGCTGGTTTCCTCTTCAGGTCACAGTTTCCCTCAGGGAACCTCTGTGGATTCCTGATTCTGTGCTTTCCTCTGAGGTCTGTCATTTAGAAATGTCTGTTGTAAACAGAGACGACTTTCTCACATGGACAACAGCAGAATGTCTTTTGCATGCACTCTTTTCCCCAAGTGACAATTAATCATGAAATCTTCTGACCTCCATCACCTAAATCTAACAGGAGGCTCTGCTGACTCCACAGAGCAGCTTAGCCCCTCTGCTCAGGGTCCCAACTATCCAGCGGCAGGACACATGGGTTCAGGACAGCGGGCACCTGAGGGGTGTGAACAAAAATCTACAGAAGAAAGACCCAGGTGGTGACACTCATTGACCTGTCATCATGGTCACAACACCAAGAGTAGGTGACACCAGGCAGAGGCAGAGGGACCCAGGACGAAATGGTGCAAATGTCCAGGTTTCAAACAATCATACAACCAAGGGACAGGATGTTTATCACGTACAGAGTTGAAATCTCTGGGAAGCACAGGGAAGGCCCTTCAGCAAGTCAGACAGGCTCTCATGGAGCCAAGAGAGGGGAGACTGGCTCAGGGCTTTCATCTTGGCGAGGTGGTGGGGAGGGAGGAATTCTGCTCCCAGGGGCTGGTGTGGTTTCAATCTCCCCAGGACATCTACAGAGGAGACCCCACCTTTCCCATCAGATTCCCGAGTGGGGCAGATGGGGAAGAGGCAGGAATGACCCATCAGCTGTCAGCAGTCACAGGAGACAGCAGAGAGTCTGGCTCCACATTTCACTGAACAATTATAAAAATGAAGCAGAAATTAACATAATGACTCATTATGTGTGTACAAAACAAAGTCTACAGAAAATGAGAAAAATGCTAATAAATAAGTAAATGATGATGATGATGGTGATTATGATGGTGATGAAGATGATGGTCACGGTTATGTTGATGGATGATGATGGTGATGGTGATGATGGTGATGATGATGAGGACCGTGTTGGACTGAGACACGGGCTCTGGTCCAATAATATTATGACCGGTCCTACAGAAACACAATGACCTTACGTCCTCCTGGGAGGGGTGTCCCTTCTTCCCTCTTTGGGTTGAGAGATTCATAAGTGGGACCCTGATGAATTATGCTCCTGGGTGACCCAAAAAGAGACCATGTGAGTAATGACCCCAAAGATATCAAAGTGCTATTCCCTTAGACCTGTGGAGTTGTCACCTTGTAGACAGAGACACTGTGAGGATGTGAGTGTAGATAATGGGGAATCTCATTCCCACCAGTTTGCAATGACCATTCCTTATGTCACTAGATCCCATCCTGCAGCATCATTAACGTTTTTATTTCTAAGCAGCTCCTGTTCATAATTTTTCAGGGATTTCCTAGGATGAAATAAGTGGTCTCCATCCTGCCCTGTGCTTCCTTCTGGGTCTTCACTGGAAGAGGTGCTAAACCTATAGGTCCAGTAACACTTTTTCCATGAGGACCAGGCATATTTCTCTTGTGTGATTCAAAACAAGTCCACCATCCTCCCCTCACCCAGTTCCAAAGTCAAGTCCAGATTTATGGGTACTTTTCTAGCAGCCTCCACTCTGGTAGGGATGGGTTGCTGGAGGCGCTCAGGACACCAGGGGCCCACTGGAACCACCACTCTATGTTTCAGCTTCAGCAGCATCTGCAGGTGGTGTTTAAGGCTGATTCCTCTGAGGGCTCATAGCTTCCTCTCCTTAGAACAGTTCTCTACTAGAGTCTCTAGACCTGTGACTCTCTGGCTACCACTGATGGCTCTGCATTTTAACAGTTTTACTATATTAGCAGCAAAGTTCTCACATGAAACACAGGGGACATTTCCTGTTTGTAGGAATTAAAATGCGGAGGGCGAGGTCAAGGTGATGGATTAGTGGGTGCACCTTTCTCTCAGCTGCTCCCCGAACCAAGTGGGAATGACCACAGAATGGGGATCAATCACCCTGAATTACCAACTACAGACTCTTTGTAGAGGAGACTTTCAACAAAGGACTGGGAGCAGGAGCCACCTCAGGACTGGAAGGAAGTCCTGACAGGTGAAAGGGTTCTGGCTCTGCTCCCATGGGTGACAGGCTGGGGTTTCCAAGGGATATATTAGGATAGAGGTTCCCCCTGAGAGGTCTGGAACCATGACCCAAAAATATGCCACAGCCCAGCTCACCAGAGCTGAGACTAGGAACCCACATAGCACCCAGCTGTGAAATGCTGTAGGGCTTCCCTTTGCCCATGGACTGAAGCGTCTTGGGTTGAATTCCCAGTCAAGGGATTCTACCTGAGTTGCAGTCTGGATCCCAGGTCCAGGTTGTCTGTGGGAGACAACTAATTGTTGTGTCTCTTTCACATGGATGATTCCATCTCTCTCTCTCTCACTGCCACTGTCTCTGAAAAGCACTGGAGAAAATAAATTCACATAATGATTTATAAAAAAGAAAACACTGGAAGGAATAAAAAGTAGGTTGGATGCAGCAGAGGACTGTATCAGGAATTTGAATGAAAAGGTAGAAAAAACATACAATCTCAGAAGCAAAAAACATAAACATTTTAAAAGAATGAGGTAGTGTAAGGGAACTTTGGGAATCATTAAATAAAACAACATCCACATCATAGGAATACCAGAAGGAGAACACAGAGACCAAGTGATCGAGAACAGATTTGATGAAATAATGACAAGAACGTTCCAAACTAGCTGAAGGGGAAAGACACACAAATCCAGGAAGCACACAGAGTCCCAAAGAAGACGAATCCAAATGGGTTCACACCAGGACACCGCAGAATTACAGTGGCAAAGGTTAAGAACAAGGAGAGGATTCTAAAGGGGGAAAAGAAAAGCAGTTACTTCCCTACAAGGCAGCTCCCATTGGACTGTCAGCACATTTCTCAAGAGAAACATTTCAGGTCAGAAGAGACAGGCAGGATATATTGAAAGTGATGGAAAGGGCCCCTTGTTGACCAAGCTTCCATCAGGCCCCTCTGAATCTCTTCCCAACTAGGCTGCAACCTCTACTCATTAAGGTCCAGCTTTGCACAGCCCAATATTAGCAAGAATCCTGTTAGGCTGGTNTTAGCAAGAACCCTGTGAGGTTGGTTTGGCTAGAAACCCCCGCACTTAGTATATGATCACCCTCGAGGCCTCATTGGGTTCCCCACCCAGCAACACCCCAGGTGATGGGGAATCACCCTGGCCTGTCTTCAGCAAGAAGCCTGTCAGGATGATTGACCAGTCCTCTCACCCCTGCTGGTCCCTTAGTACTTTTCCATCCACTGACCCCACCCTGCTCCCGACACTGATTCCAACATGTCCTTGTTGTATTCAGAGTTGGCCCCTGTCTCTCCTACAGAAAATCTCCAANTCTCCTACAGAAAATCTCCATGGAACATCCCTGAACCCAGGCTGCCTTCTTGTTCATGAGTATCTGTGAGAATGGAGGTTTCCTTCAGCACTCCTCCCACTGAGAGCCTCAGCCGATTATGAGACACATCAGTCCTGCCTGTCCCCTCGGCCCCAGCCCGAGATATACCCTCCACAGGTTGGCATCTAGGTGATCACTTCAGACCACGTCCACCTGGGAGGTGTGAATCAGTCCCAACCAGAATTCACCTAGATTCTAATGGGGTTTCCTTCTGCCAGGACCAGTCTGGGTGAGAGTGTCGCCTTCCCTCTGGGGAGGCTCAGACGAGCACCTCTCCCCGAGCCCTGGAACTTCTGGGCCGTGAACCATCAGAAGTGTCACCTGGAGGGCAGGGCAGTTAATATGCAAACCCTAGTAGGGGCACCATCAGTTGAAATCTTGGGTCCCCCTCTACAGTGCAGTGTCCCTCCCCACCCAGCTGGGTCCTCAGCTCTGTCCCTCACTGTCCTTGTACAGGATGGGCTGTCCCAACATCCTCACTAAGCTCCTGGCTGTCCTCCCAGGTGAGTCACAGACCAGGTGCTGGAGTCATGGAGGAGAGAGGGCAGGAGGCAGCCCCGACCTGAGTCATGCTCTGCCACACAGGTGTCTGTGCCCAGGTGCAGCTGGTGCCCTCTGGGGCAGAGAGATCAAGACCTGGGGAGACTCTGAGGATCTGCTGCAGAGCTTCTGGGTACAGCTTCACCAGCTGCTGGGTCAGCTGGGGGGGCCAGTCACCTGGGAAGAGCCTGGAGTGGATGGGAATGATCTGTCCTGGTGACTCGCACACAAGATACAGCCCTCCTTCCAAGGCCAGGTCAGCATCTCCACAGACAACTCCATCAGCACCAGGTACCTGCAGTGGAGGAGACTGAAGGCGAGTGACCCAGCCGGGCATTACTGTGGGAGGGACACAGTG